GTTGGGGGGAGTATGGGGGGTACTGGGGGCCGCTATGGGGTTATTAGGGGTTCTGGACCCAAATAAAAACAAACAAACAAAACAAAAAAACAAAAACAAAATAAAAACAAAAACAAAAAGAACAAAAAAAAACAAAATAAAGTTAAAAAACAGAAAAAAATTACGGGGTGCCGATGACCCCCGACCAGTAGGTGCCGACCAGCCGACTGGTCGACGCGTCGGCAGCCGACCAGTCAAGGGCCGCCGACCCTCGGGGTATGCAACACTGAATTGTAGGGTTAAAAAAACAATATCAATCTCGCTTTCCCTTCTTCGACTGCTCACCGGGAACTCCTCCTCCACAATCTTCTTATGGCTTTCGGTCACTGCAATTCAGCAAGACAAGCCACAGAAAACAAAATTGTGCAACTATGTGTTAACTGCAACTCAGACACTCACATGTCAAATCACTGACGATACAGGTCATACTCACACTAAGACCTTTTCATCTAGGCTCTAGGGTAGCAATTTGCGGTCAGATACATCCAGGTCTAACTGTAATTGCAGTCCGATACATTATGTCACAGTGAGAGTCTGCCCTGAGGACCGAACTTACTTCAAGCATCAGCAATCAATCAGACAAATACCTTTTTTTTCTTTTTTTTTTGCTAACCCTTCCCTCTCTTGTCATTTGTCCGCCTATGTCCCCAGATTGAGCAGACAGTCCCCATGTCCACAAGTCGTCATCCGCGGATTGAGCAGACAGTCCCCATGTCCACAAGTCATCGTCCCCGGATTAAGCAGGCAGTGGATTTAAACGCTTGCTATTTCGTTGTCTGCAAAGGGACTCAAGCTGCTTCGATTTTGGATCTACTCATCTGGGTGGAATTGGGGTTGTTGTGGTGAAAATTCAAAACACACACACACTCACACACACAAGCTCATATCCACACAAATGTCTGAATTGTAAGCCACACTGCAAGGGATCCATGAGTGCGCCAACAGTGCACAGGCTATACATACAATCAAATTTCTATTGAATAACTTTCCATGGACAACGTACAATACAAAATGCTACTGGGCACCCACAGAGAGAGAGAGAGAGAGAGAGAGAGGCAGGCAGACAGTTTGAGAGAGAGAGAGCGGGAGAGAGGGAGAGAGGGAGAGAGGGAGAGAGTTTGAGAGAGATGGAGGGAGAGAGAGAGAGGAGGGGGGGAGAGAGACTGAGAGACAGAGAGGGGGAGAGAGACAGACGGGCAGACAGAGTTTGAGAGAAGGAGGGAGAGGGAGAGAGGGGAGGGAGCAGAAAGACTGAGAGACTGAGAGACTGAGAGACTGAGAGACAGAGAACGTAAAGGAAGAGACGGTTGCATACCAACTGGGGGATCAAGATCCTCCACAATCCAGGAAGCTCTTCGGGTGTCCTCAGCACAGGCTGACACAAGGATGTCCCCAGCATTTCCTCTATCATCAAGGCCCATTGCATCATCGTCTCTAACACAATACCCTTCTCCTCCCTCATTCTCTCGAGAACACCTGCGTTCCCCTTCAAATGGCAACATCTCCAACGCATCCATCGAATCATGTCGAGCATGAGATGCTTGTACAGTCATCTCCTTCGACAGAACCCCCGATTGGTCACCATCCTCTCTGCATGAATCACCGGACAAAACGAAGAAGCACATTCCACCAGACACGCGTAAGAAGCACATTTCACTCGGGGGAAAAACGAAAGATCATATTTTTTTTGTGTTAGGCTCAGGCGGGGCTCAATCCCAATAAGGCCTGGCCAAGGTAAGAATGGGTTGTTTCAACTTGTTTCCTTTTTGGGGGAGGGTTAATGATAAATTAATATTTTTTTTTTAAGTTCTTTTCTTCTCCTTCCTTGTGCAGGGGCCAGACTAGTCTTCTCTGTATCGTTCCAATTTCAATCGGTGTCCCACAGGACAAGCATGACCTGTTTCTGTACTTCGCTGTTTTTCATCATCGAACTGACCGACCCCAGGTATTTCAGAATTATTTCACTCTGGTCATCTGATTGCATCTGGATCCGAACTTGGGTCCCTATTTCAATAGTTGCTGGGTGTACCAGCTGAGCTAGGCCCATCGGTTATATGTTTTTCAAGTTTGCTGCTAGCCAGATTTGAACCCGGAACCTATACGTATAGGCGCTATTCGCTCTTTGTATACAGATAGGACCTAGACATGTACAAATCTCGATATTACAAAGGGGGAAAAAAAAAAAAACTATCGAGAGCACAGCCCGCCAAAAAAAAAAAAAAAAAACTGTCAATATTTGAGGCATAGAAAAATTGATTTGACAACCAACAGGCGTATAGTTAAATGGTGCATCCACGACCTCCTGAAACAAAGACCCCCAAGTCCTATTGCAGATAAAATCAGATGACCAGAGTACAATCATTCTGAATTACCTGGGGCCGGTCCGTTCAATGGCAATATCTCAAGGCTGGGTGATATCTCAAGGCCGTCTTCCCCCGAACATAACGCACCCTAAAAGTGAATGTATACGAGTTATACTTCCGGCCAGATACGGCCAAAATGAGGGTGCATTGTGTTCGAGGGACGATGGTAGCAGCAGTTGGCGTTTCCTTCATAAGGTTTCAGAATGACGGGAAGAAGGAAGTGCCGCTATTTTTTTTACCGTTTTTTTTACCGCGTAAACAGAGAAAGTCTGGGCACAGCCATAGGTGATGTGTTCTGCCACTCTATCCTGTGTTGCTTTCAGTGCGGTTCGTTTCGCACTGCAATATCTACAAATATCCCAGCACAAAATACTTAAAAGTGTAAGTAATAACTACTAATAAGAACTAAAAAAATATCCAAAAAAAAACAAAACTGGAGGGAAAAAACTTTCAAAAAAGTTAAAAAACATACCTTTATTATCTTGCGTAAAATCGGAATACAAACAACTTTTGGCTGAGGGTCTCATCGAAATTGTTGCACATTTCAAGATAAAACTAAAACGGAAAACGAGAGTTAAGAATCTTAAGATACACCCCTTTAAACCCCTTTAAACCCTTTTCAACTCTGTTTATACCCCCCAAACCACCCTGGGTGACCCATCATTCAATTGGAAAGTAAGGCTGGATTCTGACTTCTCAGGCCACCCGCAGCCTTTTCCTGAAGTCGGATTTTTTTTCCCCCCCCTCAATTCGTTGCCTTGTTTTTTACCAGCCCAGTTTTACCCGGTGAATCCTCCCCCTCCCCCACCAACCTGGGCATGCCCGGCTGGGTGCCTGCCCAGCACTGGCACCTAGTTAGTTAAAAACTGTGATTAGCTACCGTCCTCCCCCGAATAGAATGCACGCTTCTTTTTTTTTTTTCGCTGTATTTGGGGCACCTTTCAATCCAGACACTGTGACAAGGACCGCACATTCTATGTGTGTGAAGACGGTAGCTGAGTTTTCATTCTGTAGTTCAAATCTGCGATTGAAAAAAAAAAAAAAAAAAAAAACAAAAAAAACAAAAAAAAAAAAAAACACGAGCCCGCTGCTCAGCTAGGAGAGGTGATAAGCTAGGTAAAATTTCAAATTTGTGCTTACAAAGTTGGATTTTTATTATCTACTATCTAGTTGATTTGTGATAAGCCAGAGATGAGCTGGTACCGATTGTTGAATCCGATTGTTGAATCTCACCTAAACCCTGGCAGACCATCAATAGAGCTCAGACTTTGACAATTGGAGCTGCCTTCGGTTCCCATCTCTTCGGAGGCTTCAGAAGGAGCCCTGGATTGTGCCTGCAAATATTTACATATCCGAAGAGGAAAAAAAAATGTTAACAAGTTCACCCTCCCTAGGAGCGTGACACCGGCTTTCCCCCAAAAAAACTAAATAAATTAAAAAAAAAAAACGAATCAGACAGAGGATGCCAAAAAGAGCTTTCAGAGACTTGAACTGAACTGAACTGGATAAAACTATTGCGCCTTCAGCTCCCTATAAATTGGACATTTTTTATGATTATTCACTAGGCTACCAGCCGGGCCGCCCGGGTCACCCCGTTTTCCCGAGCGGTCCGGCCGTGCAAGGACCAGGGAAGGTCCCAGCGGCAAGAAAAAAAAAATCCGAAAAAGAAAACTATGTTATGCAGAAAAATAAACTGTACAACATTTGCCTCAGGGTGACATCGAAATTCTTTATCATATTTAAAATAAAAAACAATGTATACTGTCACAAAGTTATCAGAGCGCAAAAGTAAAAGAAAAAACAAAAGGAAACAAAAAAGATATCAATTCATTTTTTTTCTTACTTACAACTCCCCCTGTTCAGAACCTCTTGCGTACAAGGCCGCCCACGTGGATGTTGGTTGAGCGGCGGCTGCCACCACCCCCGTGTGTGTGTCATATCGACCCACTTGCACACAGCCAAAAGGCAAAGAGGCAAAGAAAAGAGGAAGGGAACAGCCAAATATAACAAAACAGGGGGCAACAAGATCCTGGAAAAGCACCGCCCCCAACTTCATAGGCCAAGACCAACCAGGATATCAAAACACTCTTGCCTGCAAAAAAAGAAATCCCACATACATATCTATATACAGCAGATGGCCGTGTTCATCATCAGGATGTTGGTATTCCCATTCCTAAACCATTCGTGCTCTCATAGGCCGAACAACGAAAAAAAAACGGATGACTGTTCCCACATGAAAGCACCGCTACGCTTGCCAAAATAAACCGAACAACGGGACAAAACCAACCGGGATGCAGACAAGGGTGCCAAAAAACAAACATAACAGATCCTAGATGACAAGTCCCACATGCAAGCACCACCCCCTACATCACAGGCCAAACGACGGGACAATACCCTTGCCTGCAAAAAAACTATATAAAGACAATCCCAGATGTCGATTCCCACCTAAAAGCACCGCCTCCCATCAATAGGCCAAACAACGGGAACCAGCCAACCAGGATGCCAAAAGGAAAAACCCGGATGACAAGTCCCACATGAAACCACAGCCACGTAAACTGAACAACCCACATGAAAACACCGCCACGTGGACCGAACAACAAGACAAAACCAACTGGGATGGAGACAAAGAGTACCAAAAATACCAACAAAACCAACACTCGAAAAAACGGAACCATACAGTAGGTCCGTAAAACGAAATACGCCAACAATGGGGAAGAGCAAAGCAAGAGAAAAAAGAAAAAGGATAGTGAAAGGCCTTCCACGATTCAGGCCCCAAATTTGGGTCACAAGGTCCGAGGCCCTGGCCAAGAAAGGCCGAATTAGTCGAATTCAGAAAAGTCACAGTCGGGTACCTCAGCTGTCCAGTCCAACAGGCACCCAGCAAACAGTCAACATCTTAGGGGCAAGAATCACGTTTCATAATGGAAAGTCATATTGAAGAGTCACATCCCACGAGTAAAAGGGCAGTTCCACAGGCAAGGGTCGTGTCCCCGAGGCAGGAGTCACAGTCCACAGTCAAAACCATATGCCAAAATCAAAAAGTCACGACTCAAAGGCCCAATCAGCAGCAGACCAATGGAAATTCGGGAAGGTTCCAGGCCTTGACATTTCTAACACAGAAACAAGCCGTGGGGATGTGGTACCGGAACCAAGTGAAGCCCCAAAAAGCAGAGGCTGGCACGAGTTGAAGTGCAATCCAAGACTACAAAAGGACCGGCCAGCCTCCCTTTCGTGTGGAAGTGCTGGTGCACTTGTGCACTATTGTGAGGGGCAGAGCGCTGAAGCCAGAGTACTGCGGTAAGAGAGAGGGAGAGGAAGAGATTGCGCTGGCTGAGAGAAGGCAGCCATAGCTGCGCCAGTGCAGAGTGTTAGTAGTAGACTTTAGAGGGTTAGTAGACATATCAGTGGGCGTATTCAAAGTAGATCCTTCGAGTAGAAGTTAGTGAGTGTGCACGCATGTAGAGAGAGAAGACACAGCGAGGACATAGCTAGGGAGAAGACGAGCAAGGAGGAGAGATACATAAGAGAGAAGGGCAGTGGGGAAGAGATACCTGAGAGCTTATGCTGGTTACTGGTGACCTTTGGCATGCGCTGACGAGCGCTGGTGACTTGAACTCTTATTGCTCTTGTAATAACTTGTTTGAATTCATAAGCTGCGCTACCTGGTCTTAATCTCTGGCTCGTTGCAATAGAAAGGATATATATTTATTTTATTTTTCACTTTTTATTGTCTTCTGGCCCGGCCGGGCAAGTGGTCCCGGGCCACTCTGGTAGTCTTTAAGAGCAAAGGGACCTTTCTCACGGTCGGTACAGGGATTCGTACCGAGCACGCTTCGCCAGAAGGCCATACTAGCCCTAGTAGTTTTGTGGCAGTACTAGCCTGGTACCCGGACGAACCGACACCAGTGCTGGATCATCTTTTGGAACTGCGAGGGCCTCTAGGGGAAGCGAGTTTTTTGAAGTTGACGCGGCAACTATAATTATAGTAAGTACGATGAGTTAGTCCTCCTACGGTTTTCCCGCGATACACGAGCAGCGTTAGCGGACTACGAGCATTGGGATCAGTGGAATGTTCGGTGGCTCCCGGGTGTGTGGACTGATAAGCTGTACCGTAATTTTCTAATGAATTGTACTTTGTCAACAAGCTTGTCCATGATCCTTGTGTCGTTGACTAGTTATTGGCTTACTCTGCGTGTTATGTGTACTCCGCATGTCACGTGTGAATGTTTTTCCATCTACACTACACTCTGGTAGTCTAGATTTTTCACGATTTTTTTTTCCTTTATTTTTTTTTTTTGGACCATTTCTCGATTTATGTGTGCCATCCTTGTGCAGGGGCCATGCTAATCTTCTCTCTCTGTATCGTTCCAATTTTAACGGACGTCCCAAAGGACATTTTCATGATTTTTGTCACTTTGTCATTTTCCGAATCTTCCTTACCCTGGTTTCTTTCACTTGAGCTCAAAGTTCTCAGGTCTTTTGGGGAAAAAAAAAAAAAACAGGTCCTTATGGTCCTGCCTTCACATCCATTCAGGAGAGCATTGGCCTAATCCCCTCAGCACGTCACCGGGCAAAAAAAAAAAAAAAGAAGGAAAAATTATTCAAAAATAAAGTTACGATACTCCCACACTTCCTTCCGCCAAACCACCAGTTCCCACGATCCTAAGTTGATGAATCTATGCCTTCCACGGCTCTTCGAGCCTGCGACTGCACCTTTTCAAAGGACTCCGAGAAGGAAAGGAAAGGGGGCTATCTAACAGTCAATCCTCCTCGACAACGAGCAATCAATGCTGATCAGGGCTTCTGTTCGGTAAGGGCTCTCTCACCACGTATACCGGCACGAGCACTACTCGTCTTCGTGTAAACAGGTGGTTTTAACTTTAAACTTTAAACTTTAAACTTTAAAGCCAAAAGCCACCCTGAACAGCATTGATTGCTCCTTGCCGAGGAGGATTGACTGTTAGATAGCCCCCTTTCCTTCTCGGAGTCCTTTGAAAAGGTGCAGTCGCAGGCCGAAGAACCGTGGAAGGCAGATTCATCAACTTAGGCTAGTGGGAACTGGTGGTTTGACGGAAGGAAGTGTGGACAAAAGTTATTGCGGATAATGTCTTCTATCCATACTTGCGGCGCATCGAGGTGCGCGGCATCCCGCACGTGCGCCGCACCGCGCACGGGGTGCGGCGCACCCCGAAAATAAGGGGTCGGCCAAAAAAAAAAAAAGTTGGGGAGGGGTGTTGTAGGCTCAAGTGGGATGTCGCGTCAAGAAACAATAACAACAACAACAACAACAATTTGAGGCCGCACGGGGCCCCAGAAAAAAAAAAAAGGGGGGGGGGAGCTGAATTTTTTTTTTGAAGGAAGAACATCAGAATTTCTTTGCACGAGTGAAGCCCGGCGCGTCCAACCTGTCAGAACCTCAACGGTAATGTTCACCAACGGGCTTGCTGCACAACTCTCGACATGCACAACAAGACATAGGGCCTCGCTGCACTACTCTCAACATGCACAAAAGACAAAAATATTGGCGGTGTATCTTTCCATATTCTAACGCAAGATTCACTCTCGTTTTGCAGATTTCCAGAGTAGTGCAGCGAGGCCCATATATGGCAATGTAACTTTCCATGTTCAAGCGGAGGATTCAGTCTCATTTGTTCAGAGATTCTTCAAAAAAAAAACAAAAAGTTTCCAGAGATACGTTACGTTGTCGAGCGCATCGGTCCCGCTAGGGGACCCTCCCGGCCGCGTCACGCAGGATTTGGCAGGACTTCCGTCGCGGAGAGCGAAGTGCCGCTCCGGCCGAGTGCGCCAGCCGTACCTCTCGCGAGTCCCTGCGACAGGACAGAGCCACGCGAGGCACCGCTTTACCTCCACCTGCGGGAGCTGTCACCATCCCTTAGGTGGGCGTATCCCCGCCGAGCTACTGAACCACATGCGAAAGCTTTACAAAAATAAAATTAAAAAAATAGGCATCTGTGGTCGCCCTCGGATGTGACCGTGAATTTTTGTACCCCGCGGCTACACAACTGCGGCTGCCGTCAAGCAGTCATACACCAAATGGTACCTTTGGAACCTCGGAAAAACTGTGTAACCGGTCCCATGCCTTACCGGCCTTGATGGGCAGGGTCACGCTCAACCCCCTTATTGCAGAAATGGGACTGGGCGGGCCCACACACAAAGTTCTCACAGCAAGATGGAACTGGGCAGGCTCACACCCACGCCTCATACAGCGGATCGAAGTCGGTGTCCGCTGTGTCCCCTGGTCACGGCCGGTTCCGGTGCCACTGCCGGACCACGTTCAACATATGGGACAAAAACAAGAAATAAGGGAAAAAGAAAATGAAAGTAAAAAAAATAACAATAATAAATAAAAAACCTAGAAAATCGGAATAGGGGGAGGAGGCCGTTGGTACTTGGTCCTCAGCCCTCCCTCTCGGGCCCGCGGTAGGACTCCCCAGCAAAACTAAGGGGGATAGTCCTGCAGGATCCTCAACCCCTCAATCAACCCCTCAGTCTTCTCCAGGAAACGCTCCTCCGCTCCTGTAATACTGGCTGCTGGCCTTGATCCCGGGATGCCCCTGGTGGAAGTTCAATGACGTAACCTATAGGGCTAAGCCCAAGTCTGGTCGCAGCAGGCCCAGTTCTGCATATGAAGAGTAACTGCAGGCTGTTACAGCCTACCCGGGCCTGCAAGGGTGCGCCAATGCCCTCTCTTGGTCTGCCCCTTGAGCCCAAGGCCCCGTACGACCATGTTCTCCGCTTGGAGGACGGCTATTTGCTGAGTTCACCATACGCACTGCCCCGTCATGCCCCGGTCACGGGCCGAGGCTCTCATAGCCCGCCGTACTCATCGAAAAGAGCATGCTTTTATCGACTTTGGTCGGAAAGACTCCGACTTTTGCTCGCGCCGTATCCACGCGTCGTACCTAGCTAAAATTTGTTACGGCTCCCACCGCCGATACCTTTATAGTCAAACGTAGTACTTGCATGCTTCACATGGCGCGGCCTCAAAATGCCGCCCTTCCGCAAGTTAGTCGAAAGTTTTCCTCCAGCCATAGCCTCGACGGTCTAACTTTGCGCCGGTGGCGACCTCGTCAGTGCGCCCGAAGTTGCGGCCCGCGCTATGCTATCCAAACCTCTAGCTTATTTCTAACTTGGACCACCGAGCGGTTTGTTTGTTCACACTAGTCAAAAATTTTAACTAACGCGTGCCCACAAAGTGTACGCCCATATACACACCCTCTGACTCATCCAAGCGTGCGCCCGCCACTTCCTGACTTCCAAGAGTCAGTCACGATCGAGCGAATGCATGCCACTTCCTTAAATTTTATCAAGAATGCTCCTCCTGCGAGGTGCAAAAGTACGCACAATTACCCTTGTAAGGGTATTGGTGCCGACAACGTGCTTACCGGATTCATCGGCCCTTCGTTCTCCACCACCCAACGTATGAATGAATCTTCCGCCAGAACATGGAAAGATACACCGCCATACTTTTTGTCCTTTGTGCATGTCGCCCGCTTCCGGATTCATGTTGCCCGTTGATAAGGGCGGTTTCTTCGGTCCGATAGTGTCAGCACACCGTTTCTTCTCTCTCTCTCACACGGTTTCCTCTCTCCCTCTCTCTCTCTCTCTCTCTCTCTCTCTCTCTCTCTCTCACACACACACACACACACACACACACAAATGTGGCGGTGTATATTTCCATGTTGCAGCGGTACACTCACTCGATTTTGCTCGTCGTTTCGATGGAAGTACCAGGAGGCCAGCCGCGACGTTGGAAACCTCTCTCTCTCTCTCTCTCTCTCTCTCTCTCTCTCTCTCTCTCTCTCTCTCTCTCT